GGGTCCTCAACCAAAGCCTTTGGCTCAAAAGCCTAACCGCAAGGCAGCGGTGTTTGGCGGGGAAATGCAAATGCATTACCTTTTCTACGGAACAAGTCGCCATACATGTTCCGACCCCCAACCTGGAGGACCAGGAGACTCTGTTCGTCAGACCTCTAACCATTGACCAACCTGGTATTAGAGACTCTGTGAGTGTCGCGCAGACACCCCCGAGTATAGCTCAATGGGCCTCCGCGGTACACAAACCGCCACACCACGGTAAGGTCCAGTCTCTTCGTGACGGACGCAGACGATATAGCTCTTCTGGGATCTCACATCGTGTTAATACAAACAATACTAAATAATCTAAATAACTCTGCCTCGCGGTTCGGCATGCGCTTCACACCAGCAAAGTGTAAAGTGATACTGCAAGGCTGGGTGGGCTCGAACCCTTGCCTTGAGCTTGCGGATGAACCGATTGAGGTAGTAGACAAATTTGTTTACCTGGGCAGCTGTATCAGTCCCGGTGGTCTCACGAAAGATGATATTTCCGTTCAGATTGGGAAGGCCAGAGCAGCTTTTGCGAACCTACGTCACCTGTGGCGTAGGCGTGACATCAGCTTCTCTGTCAAGGGTCGAGTTTACCATGCTGCGGTGAGCTCCATATTACTATATGGATCAGAAACCTGGCCGCTGCGCGCCGAGGACGTCAAAAGACTTTCAGTGTTTGACCATCGATGTCTTCGGAGCATTGCCCGAATCTGGTGGGAACACCGGATCAGCAATTTTGAAGTACGTCGAATGGTATTCGGGAGAAATAACTCACCCTCGATAGATGAACCAATCACGCTGTACAGGTTGCGCTGGCTTGGCCACGTGCTCCGTATGCCAGTCGACCGACTTCCTCGAAGGGCTCTTTTCGCACAACCACGTGAAGGGTGGAAGAGTGCCAGAGGCGGTCAAACAATGACTCGGAAGCGAAGTATGAAAGCAATTACCAGCAAACTCAGCTGCGCTGGTCACTGCCGTCTTCCTGGATGGGGACCCCGAGACGGACCACATCAATGGCTAGAGACATTGTCAGATATGACCCAGTCGCGCCCTCAATGACGCCCGTGCATCCAAGCTATTGCCTTCAATGCATAGCTCCTTTTCCAACCCCTCTCCACTTGACAGCCCGCTGTACCTACCCCCCCCCCAAACCATCGGGGAACGAACCTGCGGCAGCTACAACCACTGTACGACGAGTACGCGGTTATTACAGCTGACAATAATGATGATGATGATGACTTTTTGTTGTTTATTATAGTGGAAATTATGCCGTAGAATCCATTCTGAGCAGGATTGAGACAAGACCACACAAGAATGAGACTACTTTCGCTTGGTGCAACTCCGGTTTCATGATTGCAACTATAAGAGCTCACCTGGTTTAAAGAACAACTAGTCCGTTTAGCGTTTCACCGGTTTGGTGATGTTTAGGATAGCAGTGTTATCGTACTTGGAGTACAGCGTTTAAATAAATTCACTGGAAAACAACAAAAGCTTTCTGATACCCTGCACAGTCTAGTACCACCGTGTTGTACGTTTCAAAACTACTCGAACTACTATTGAACCGACAAAAACCTAAATACTGAGTACAATTAACGAAGCACTGCGCCACTGAAGAGTTCACCCTGTTTTTACAAAACGTACTCAAACGGTTGCACAGCTTTTCTGACGAGTGGCTCAACTCTCCATTGATCTACGATTCTGCATGTCACCACGTAAAAACAGATGAACACTGGGTGCATGTGTATTTTAAAGGCTTAATGATAACCCCAAGAAACTCACAACCGAAACCAACAGAGGAAGCCGAGTGATTATGAGTGAAATCGCAGATCAGCTCATACCTGCCACGATACAAAAAGATCTGTCTTAAAGCTCAAAATAATCAAGTCACTAAGAAAATAAAAGGAGTGGATAACAAGTGGTCTCCAGTCAGACGAAGAATCTAAAGTAGTAGTCGGGAGATGGGAAGAGAATCAGAACCAATGTTGCATGAATGTAGATTAAGAGCAAATTCTGCCAAAGGAAGCAATAAATGACATGGTGGATAAAACCCTAACTACAGCTTTTGTAATACTAAATAGCTGCGTATGACTGCTGGGTGTGAGCACACAAAGTTGAAAAGCCGGTCCTGTTAAGCACGCACACCAACAGCAAAAATGCTTAGTGGTCAAACACAACCAAAAACAAACTCACTTCCAGCAAATCCAGCGCAGCCACATCTGTTGTCTTGATGGAGTTTCTCAGGTTGGACTCTTTGGGTGTACTAACCTTAAAATCCTTGCGTTTTAGGTGTGAGTGAGCCGGCCAATCAGCTTCATCTGGAAAGCCAAGCATGCTGGAGAGATGGGTGAAAACATAAACCTTGGGTTTACTTGAATATCAAACTCAGCAGTTTCAACTCAGTATCCGCACGAAACAAAGCGTTGCAATTGAATAGTTCAGCAATGATACACCCCACCGCCCATATATCACATGGTGAAAGATACTCTGACTGCAGTAAGATTTCAGGTGCTCTGTACCACAAGGTGACAACAACCGGGGTCAATCGAGATTCCCAGCCGAGTACCCGTGATAGGCCAAAGTCGGCAATTTTCAACTGACGACCCTCGCGGTCGATAAGGATGTTAGCCGGTTTCAGGTCACGATGTATGATTCGATGTGAATGCAAAAAGTCGGTGCCTCGTAACAACTGTTCCGCCAAATCCTGGAGGACGAATATATTTAGGAAAATGTGACGAGAAAAATGATAAATCCTTACCCGAATGGTGTCCGGCGGCAAACCAGTCGGCGGGACATGATGGGATAGAAAACGTGCTAGATCACATTCCACAAATTCGAACACGATATAAATATGCAGCTTGTTTTGCTTCTTTGTCAGCGAAATGTCCAACATCCTGAAAACAGGTTGTGACTGTTAAATGGGAACTTACTGGACCAAGTGGCTGGAATTATATGACTGTACTTTCTTCAACACACTTAGCTCTCGCAAAGTACTCAAGGGGATTCCTTCATCTGTCGTCTCTAAAATAATCTCCTTCAAGGCCACGGTGGTGCCATTTGGAGCAGTTCCTTTGAAAACTTTTCCATACGCTCCGGAGCCGAGCAGCTGTGAGATCTTATAAGAGTTGGTGAACGAAAATTTCTCATAGCCGGTCTTTGTCTGATGAGCATCCCCCATTGGAATAAATTGAGGTAAATCTTGAGGATCAGGTCATCGGAGGAACAAGCTGATCTTTTAACATCCAAAGTAGACGCGTGGGTCACGGCAATGAACCATCACCGTACAGTGGAACGGGATTAATTTCTCCAGTTACAATCTAGCTGAGATCAAGTAACAGAATGAGATCGCTTTCAGCGGAAGGCTAGAAGCAAGACTGAAAAACGATGGAAATATCCTGTCAGGGAAGTAAAGTGTTGAGCTTCAGCAACTGTAACCCGCGAACAAGAGATTATGACTAAGTCAACAAATGGTATTCAGAACATCATTCAGTTACTCAGATCCATCTTAATTTTAAGGGTACGGATGGATAATAGGCAATACACAGTTCTAGGTACGTCACGTGTCGCGGGTAGTCCAATCAAGAAGCGGCAAAACTACAAGTGAGCGGCGTGTGACTTGGAAGAATGACATGAAGAAAAGCTTAGGTGCTGATGATCTGACTTATTATCCAGGATGCTGTCCTTGTCAGCCTGACTAGGTTTGGCTGCGGACACTGCAAAACATCTCCGTTAACCGATGCCAATGGTGCCAATAGTTTCTAACTAGATTTTCCTGGCTATTTGAAAGTTTAAGTCTCTAAATTCCCACAGTAGACTAGCACCAGGTCTTTTTGCATCTAGCTTTTCGATCCCGAACCTCTGAAAGATAATTTTTCTCCATTACACTGCAGTGAAGCACCAACGTTGACGTGCTGTAACGACAGCAACCACGTCAACTGGACAGGTAAAGTAGAGGGCGAAGGAAGTCCGTTGACCAAATCTTCATTTCCCAGGGCATTCGACTCGGTTGGTTGGTCTGTTCTTGAGACGCTCGCCCAGCGTCTCAATATTTGTATTCTCAAACTTGCGGACGTTTGAGTGTATGGAGAGCTCTCCCAAAGCTTCCGTGCACAAAGCGGTGTCCGTCAGGTATGCCCACTCTCTCCATTCCTTTTCAACTTCGTGATCGATGAAACAATGAGACGAACGCTGGAGGGTCCCCAAAACCCTGGTGTTCAAATAGCCAGTGAAGAAAATCTTGTCGATCTGGAATATGCAGACGACATCGT